ATTTTGTATTATCTGCAATTATCGATTCCTATTGTGATAATTGATTATTTTTCGAAATGACAATTAGAACTTTTTATTACCAAACTTTTTTTGTGAATTGTGTTTTGCTTTCTGGGACAAAAATGGGGTTTTCCAATATGCCAGATTTAAGCTTACAAACAATAGTTTCTAGACATTATTTCAAGAGGTTTGACTGTAATTATTAAATACCGAGAATGACATAAAACAATTTTTTATATATTTTAAACACAATTTCAAAAATTTTCAATTTAAATTAACCAATTATAAATAACATTATTTTTTGACTGATAATATTAAATTCAACTCTAATTTGATATTATCTATAAATCATATTATTTTTTTAAAAATATGCTTTTATCAAATCATTACATTTAATGATTAATATGTATTTAATATTTTAAAATACATTTTAATAAATAACAAATAGATAAAATGTGTAATTTTTTATAAATAAATTTGATGGGTGAGCTTTAATTTAATTTTCGAATTATATTGCAACTATAATCTGCTTCAAAAACAATACAATATGTTCATATTTAGGTAAAAATAATATATTATAAAAGTGTAATGAATACTACACCCATTTGTACTATAAATTCAGACAAATGATCTAATCACATACACTCGATGACCGAAGAACAAATTCAAGCCATGTTTGAGCAATTTGATACCGAACACACTGGTTATGTAGAAATCGAAAAGTACGCCAACTTCATGAAAAGTTGTGCAAACAGTGAAGAAGATGAAGAAGATGAAGAAGATGTTGTTAACATTGTCTTGTTCGTTGTATATTGTACAGATACCAAAGACAACGGAAAGATGGACCATGACCAGCTCAAAGAGTTCTTTGAAACAGTTGAATTGATGAAACAGGATAAATCCAAAGAGTTTGCAACTATCTTGTTTGGATGGCTTGATCAAAACAAAGACGGGTATCTTGAAGGTCGAGAAATCACCAGACTGCAAGGTTTTTACACCAAATCAACTCCAAAAGAAGGTGAAAAGGATGTTCTCAAATTAATGGACAGTGATAAGGATGGCAAAATCTCAAAGGATGAGTTTGTCACTTACTTTGTGAAAATCCTTGAAGCTTAATTCATTCACATTTTGGTATTGTTTTAAATATTTATCAGTTGTTTATTAAACGATATAACATTCAATAATATTTTAATAACCATGAATTATATATTTACAAATTTAATACATTTGAAAATTTGCAACTAAAATGTGTATACTTGATAAATATACAACTTATTTAATCTATAAGACTCAAAACAAAAAAATAAACAATGATAATCTAATCATGTCCAAACTTAATCGAATTGGTGACCAACTAACAGTTCTTGCTCTTTTTGTTAAGTTATAAAACCTCTAATGCAACTCAAAAAGTATAACAACATTTCATTTTTTTAACACAACCAAAAATAAGCAAGTATTTCAATAATATGCTTATTTTTGACAAACCAATATAACCAGTTTTAGTGTCCATGTCGATGCATAACATTGTGTTAGCTTGGTACACCATATATATATCCAATATGACAAGTAGGGTTGTATTATTAATATCCAATACGTCTTATTTTTGGGAATTATGTAAAACATCAGATCAAACATGAAATAAATAAAAAATAAAAGTTGTTTACAATAAACAACCAAATTCATTAAACACCTTCACTTCATTTTACTTTTTCGTTTGTTTTGTTGGTAATATTTCAGTAGTAATTCCAAATGTATTGCAGAATTCGGTTTCCAGACTTGTGCATCCAACAAATGCATTCATCTCTATCTTTTTGAGATGTGACGACAAGTTCATCTCCTTCAGACTTTTGCAGTTTTGAAACGCCTTTTGTGAAATGATTTGGACGCGTTGACAGTCGCCCACTTTGGTCAGCTGTTCGCACCCAGAAAACACATCACGCCCGATGTGTGTCAACGTCGATGGGAAGTAGACTTCCTGCAATTTAGTCTTCTCTTTGAAGAGATGATTACCAATATCACTGATTTCACCAAAAAACACGACTTTCTCCAACAAGACGCAATCCTTGAAGATGTCAGTTTTGATGATGTTGGTGTCATTTGCAAAAGTGACTGTTTTGAGAGAAGTGCACCGACTGAATATCAGAGGGGCGTACAGATAATCGCTGTATAAAGTGACATCCTCCAGTTTGTCGCAGTCTGCAAGCATCTTGTACATCTCACAAACAGCTTCTGGTATTTCAATGTGTGTGATTGGCGTGTTTGACAAACAACATTCGCCAAGTCGTGTTGTTTGTGTGTTGAAATTGATGTGTGTGATGCCAACACCACAGAGCGCACTGTTACCAAAGCTAACAACCTTTTCTAATTGAATTTCAGTGAGACGGCAGCAATTTGCAAAAGACGAATTGCCAATCTCAGTGACGTGGTTGGTGCCTTTGACCGATGAAAGTGCAACACACCCACTAAACATCATATTGGGTAACACATCGATGTTTGTTGGCAATGCTACGGACTGCAGCGAAGTTGCTGACACAAACATTTTCAAACCAAAGTCGACAATGTGTGTGTCAAAATTGCAAAACCTCTCTTCGGAACTCACATACGACGTCACCACTTCTTTTGGAAAGACAACATCCTTCAGGTTGCAGTGTGCGAAGCATGATATTCCATATCGCGTTGTTGATTTCACAGTTATTGCACTGAGTTGTGTGCAGTTTTTAAAGCATGATTTGCCCATATTTATGATGTGTCGTGTATTGATGCGTGAAAGTAATTTGCAGTTTTTGAAGCATTTATTTCCAAGTTTTGTGACGTTATGTGGGAGTGCCAATACATTCAAAGCCACACAACTCTCAAATGTAGAATCGCCAAGTGTACATATGTTTTGTGGAAGGTCGACGTGTGTGAGTGAAGTGCACTTTGAAAAACAAAAATCGCCAATTTGAGTGATGGTTTCGGGAATGACAACTTCTTTGAGACTTTTACAACAACAAAATGTTCTGTTCAACTCACAAATTGATTGATTGAAAGTGACAGTTGCGAGCTCTTTGCAATTCTCAAAATACGAATTTGCGTCTTTAACGTCTTCTGGAAGTACAAAAGTTGTGAAGTGGAATTTATTCAACACGTTTTTACCGACGTGTTGCAACACTTCAAACTCGGAGTATGTGTTACTGACTTCAACATCACCAAGACTGTTGTCGTCTAATATTTGAATTGAAGTTGGCAATTGTATTTGTTTCAAATTTGTGCACCCAACAAAACAGTTAATTCCTATTCGTGTCAACTTGTTTGGCATTTTTACTTCTTTCAAAGAAGCACATTCTCTAAACATTTCATCGCCAATTTCAGACATCGTGTTGGGCAGTTCCACAACTTCGACGTGCGCATCTTGGAATAATCCAACGCCAAATTGAGCCACATTTTCATGTACAATAACAGTCGCCCAATTGCACTCGGCAAATGCATAATCGTCCAACTTTGTGATTGTATTTGGCACTTCATATTTTCCTTTTCCTGACAAATAAAAGAGATATTCAGGAAGTGTGGTGATGTCACTTGAAAATTCGACTTTAGTGAGTTCTGTGCATTCCACAAAGAGACAACTGTGAAGGGTTGTCACAAGTGACGGAATGACAAGGTCTTTCAATTTGTAGACATATGTGAACGCACCACTCAGTTTTGTGAGGTGTGAAGGGAGGTACAAGTGCTCCACCATGTTACAACACTCAAACGTCGACCTCCCTATCTCCACCACACTCTCTGGAATGTGAATTGTCTGTGCATTGCACATGTCTAAACACCACTTTGAAAGACTCTGAACACCATCTGGTATCGTCACAACATCACCTTTGTTATATCCAGTGTAACATATTCTGCGATATGTTGTTGGAAATGCTCTGTCTAAAATATCAGAAAGTGTCTTCTCTTCAAAATCAGAACATTTTAATTTCATTTTGTATTCAACATGGTGTGAAGTGATTTTATAATCAGTGAACAATAAATCGTCTTTCGCATACAAATGGAGGATTTTCAAATTTGGAAAGAATTGTCTTGTTTTTAATGTTAGAGGAATCGGGTTGTAATGGAACCTAGCCATGTTGTTAGCATACTTTTTGCATACAAACTCGACATTGATGAAGTCTGTGATATTCTTAAAATGTTGGGAAATGATTATCATCAAATATTTGTCGATTTTTCCCATTTTCTCTATTTTTGAATATTATAGATTTTATTTTTTTATTTGTTTGTTATATTTTATATTAATTTAATAGTTAGTTTGTAATTTAATTTTTAAAAGGTATTTTAGAAATTGAGTTTTGTCTAACAGTTTTCAAATTTTAAGCAAATTCTTTATTTTTTTATATTTCAAATATTGAAAACATATTAAGATTATCCTAATTTTAAAACTGTTTGTGTATAGTTATTTTTAATTTACAAATTAATTTGTATTAGTTGTTCTATTTCAAGTAGCTAACAAATTCTATATTTTATTATAATAAAATACAATAATTTAAAATTCACTTTAACCTTACAATGTCGGTTGAGTAATTAAAATAACATTTATTATTAAACTATTCAAAAAATATGAAAAAAAAACCAAAAAACTTAAAAATTCAAGTGTGGTTAACTGTTAACCCTTCCAGTACCAAAAATATGCTTGTTATAACACACATACAAATGAAATTAAACTTAAATCTGTAAACTAAAAGTTATTCTAAATTAAACAGTATTTAGTTTTAATATTGTATTTATCAGTTCTGGTTTGATGTAACATTTATAATAAATAAAAAGTTTGAACGTTTTATTTTTGAATGTTATACAAATTAAAAGTCTAACACAGTTGTGTTAAACATATTAGTTATAAAATATATTTTATAATAATTTAAAGTAATGTATATAAAGGTTCTTTCTTTAAAATGTGAAAAAGGTAGTAATGTTATTCATATACATTTGGTTTATTTTGTGTAATGAAAACGATTTTTTTTAAAACGATAGTTAAGAAAGAAAAATTTCGTAAATATATCTCGTATACATATGATTCTCAACAAAAGTTCATAAAGTGAGAACGCTAATAATTAGTGTGGTTGCACAACTAATAACATAATATTTAATTGTTTGTTACATATATCAAAATTCAATAAAATGTCAACTTTTTTACACGTTAGTTACAAAACATCAAAACATTTACAATGAAAACTAAATTAAAATAATTACTTTTGGAATTTTCAAAGTATGACGTATCCCTTGTTTTTCAATGAAAGAATTTTTTATCAGAATTTTATTTGATACGTTTTCTTATTTTAAAACCCTGTTTTTAGAAAGACTTATAATGTATAGTTTATTATACTATACACAAATTTTTGATATAAAAAGAAAAAAAAATATTAAACTTGAAAATAATAACAGGAAAAGAAGTCAAGTTTTCCTCACAGTAAAAGTGAACCTTTTTTCAACAAAAATACGATTTTAGGTTAAAATTTTCTATTAATTTGTAGTAAATTAAATTATTTTTTACCATTAAATTTGTTTCCTGGTATTTTATGATTGTAAAAAGTTTAAAGCGTTTTTTGCATTATTTCTTTCTAATATACACTCAAAATGAATAAGATATAAATAAGTTTACATTTTTTGGAAATTTTTGGTACCGGAAGGGTTAATAATTAATCAGAAATTGAGACTTTACGAAATCAAAAATTGATTTGTATTGTTCTGATATGCAATTCAAACTTGTGTATATTTCAAATGATGCGTCGACATTATTAATTTAATGATATGATTTTTGTTTTTTTTATTTTTAGAATTAAAGAAAATGTAATAAAAATGACAAGGATGCCATTCTGTAATTTTTGGTATTTTGTTTTTTGTTATTTATCTACAATCCTAAATTAACTGTTATTTAGTATTTAATAATATTAAATATCAATTATACAATTTATATTAAAAATAACAGTCAAAGATGTCTATTTTTCATTAATCCAGCAGAAAAACGTATCTATTTGTCTTAAATGAGTGAATTTTGTACAGAATTCTTTTTAAAATTGATTTTTTTATAAAAAAATAGTTTTTAATTCAACAAAAGTTACAGATTCGAGAACAAAATATTTAATTGTCGATATTTGAGTTTGATATTCATTTACATCTTAAAAAAACGATTATAAATGTTGATATTTATTAACTAAAGTGAGGAGAGAAACCCACACCTGGAGAAAAAAACGTACTTATTTCTTTTTTCTTCTTTGAAAAGCTGTTAAATGAAAAAAGGTTCAGTCCAAGTTTTTTGGTTAATTAAGAATGTTCTCATAATTAAAATACAATATAAAAACTACATGAAATTAACCTTGAATAACAAATATAAATTATTAGGAAATTAAAAATTAATATATTTTATCCTGATATTTTTAATGAAGTGATTATTAAGCTTTTGAACATATTTTAGGTTTAATTTTAATTTCTCTTATTAAATGTTTAAATTAAAAAATATGATATAAGGTTCAGTTCCTAATACATACTTTAAACAATTAATTACTGATTAGATTAATATAGTATCTAAACTATAGATTGTTATTCAGTTTATTAACCATAAAAATACTAATAAGTTATCAATAATTTATATCCACTTTAAACCCATTTCTAATAGTTAATAAATTGTATTTATCAGCCACTTAAACATAATAAATAACAAAAAAAACAAACAAACATTAATCGCGCGTAATTTGCATTATCTAATTGTTAATTTGTATGCGCTATGTGTATAAATAATTAAATAAAATTGTTAAACGGTGATGGGGATCCGCAACAACTCAACGCAAACAAATCTCTGTTGTTTGTGTTGAGTTTGAATATTTGAACTTGTTTTTCTTAATTTTAAGTTTTCATAAAAGTTTTTTTGAGAAAAAAATAATGGTGGATATAAAACCCATCTAATTTTTCAACAATTTAAGTCATTTTAATAGTTTATATTAATATAATTATAATAATATGTATAGTTTGTTGGTGGTGGTTTAATGAATACTTTTATTAAAATTATTTGATTTAAGTTAAACAATTTTTTAATTTGTAAAAAAAACAAATATTAAAAATATAATAAATTTGTATTATAATTGATAATGATTGTTATGATAAAAAACATATTCTGTAACTTCTTTGTATAATGTTACAGTGTAATATAACTGTAATATTACAGTACTGTTGATGTACATTCGTTTGCATATCAAAATTTTTGTTTTTATTTACAACTTAATAAAAAAAGATATGTGTCAAAAAGATAAATCTTGACTTTTTTTGTTGTTTTTGAACTTATTAATAATAATAGTGATATTATACACACAACCGAGCTTTAATATGGCATCTTCACGAAAACGTAATTGAATTTGACTCGTGAGTATTATAGATATAAAAGAAAATATTTTGGTCAAAAAATAAACATTTGTCTAGAAAAAGCAAATCTCTAGATATTTTTACTATACATTACTATATTATAGAATTTGTCTTGTGAAAATTTAAACTATTTTTAGAAATTGGGTTTTGATAAACTATTACAAGTAAAAAAATATAATTTAAATCATTAAACTATATATATAGTTTATATGATAGTATATTTGTTTTTTGAATAAACACAAATTTGAAACACTGTTATAATACACTGATAGTACGTAAAAATTTGGGCTATTTTTGTTCTTTGATAATTTATTTTGAATCAAACTCGAATCATTTTTTATTTTTAAATAAAAAACACTAAAAAGGAAGAAAAAGAAAAAAAAGAAACTATAATAACCCGACTTTTTTATTTTTCTGTGTTCTGGAAGTAAAAAACACAATAATTTGGGTAAAAGAAAAAAAAGAAAATGGGTGCGGGTTTTTCGCCTCACTTTAGTAAAGATTTCATAAAAATGTTAATACCAAATATACAAAGAAATGTTAACAAGATTTCGTTATAATAAACATAAAACTTTGAAGAGATGTATATCAAAAGTGATTGGAGTGTAATAAATTATCAACTTTGATGCAATATAGCCTAATACCAACCCTGGTATTAATCATTGTTGTTTACGAAAATGGTTTTTTCAAGTTGTTAAAGTCGTATCATATGTTATTTATATTAGTAATTTTTTTATACATGGGAAAAAAATAAATAATATATATTATATATATTCAGTAAAATATAAAATTAAACTTAATTAAATACTTGTTTTGGTTCAACGCCAATTTCTGTGGATCTTGTTGACATGTTTTGGTGTAAAGTTACTTTAAAAACTGAAAAACTTTTTCAACAACACAGCTCGTCACTGTGATAAGATTTAATTTTTTCACAAACAGAACCAATTTGGGGAAAGATTTTCTTTGATCATTTTGGATCATTTCGAAGGTTTTTGCATTGTTAGATATTACATTGGACATATTAAGACAAATACTGTGAGATGATTCACAATGTAGTTCCCAAAATTTGTACGTTGTGTCAAAATTTTAACAGGAGAATTAACTTCCTGATCAGAGAAAACAACATCGAACAAAGTTAATACATGAAGTATAGTAAAATGACCAGATGTGTCTTTGATAACATCAATCTGAATTCTTTCTTTTTAGTCATTTTAATTTGTTTTGGCATTACATTTTGATTGTAAAAAAATGTTTTGATGTTTTCGAATATATCAAAGTTTATTTCATTTTCTATAAACATTTGTATATTTTCAATTTATTCAGATGTATGTTCTTCACAACTCATAAATCAATTATTTTTACATTGCTCAATTTGTTTAGATGGATCGTTTTTGTGATCTATAACAAGTTGTACAAAATCATTTGGGTGAAGAGACTCGTTAAATTGACAACGTAAATATTTAGGAGTGTTTTCTTTTAAAAGTTTTATATATTTGTAATATGTTTCGATATGAAGGTGTTCCTCGTTTACTGATTTACGTCGATCAATTTGAATTTTTCATTTTAAAAGGGATTCGAAAATCGAAACACGAACGATTGAATCATTCTCGTTGTTAAATCACAACAAACTTCTCTCAGAATTTCAATACCAAGTGAATCATTTTCTCTTATAAAAGGAAGAGATGAGAATTGTGTCAAAAAATGTCTTTAATAATATTTCTTAAATCAAATAATCGTTCAATGTAATTTTGAATTCTCAGAAAAGCCAAAGAAATTGTTATTTTTGGTGTATGAAGCCAACTCAGAATTAACATTATTTCACTA